AGCCATTTCGGACCCAGCACGACTTTCCCGGCCTGTCTCTCTTTTCCAACACTACAGATCAGGCCTATGGCGAAGTCTGTGCTGGTTGTTGGCCATGGTCCCATCGGGCACTCCTTCATTGAGAAGCTTGTGGCAGCAGAGGCGAACTACAAGATCTCCGTGTTGTGCGAGGAGCCTCGACCTGCCTACAACCGTGTTATGCTCACGCAGTACTTCGAGGATCGGGATGCTGCGAAGCATGACAAGATGAAGCTGTCCTACATCAGCGAGGAGGACCTGAAGAGTCTGAACGTGGACCTTATCTACGGCCGTGCAACATCTATCGACCGGGATGCCAAGAAGGTCTCCTACACGGCCTCCAGCTCCCAGGAGGTGCTGACAGCCGCCTACGACATCTTGGTCCTCGCAACTGGCAGCTTCTGCTTCGTGCCGCCTGTGCCGGGCATGACGATCCCAGAGAAGAAGAACATGAACTGGCCTGATGACCCTGCCTCCCGGCCTGAGGGCGTCTATGTGTACCGCACCATCGAGGACTTGGAGTCCCTGCTTGCGGCGGTCAAGAATGGAGCCAAGCGTGCGGTGGTCATTGGCGGTGGGCTCCTGGGCTTGGAGGCTGCCAAGGCCGCGTATGACCTGAAGTTGGACAGCCATGTCCTGGAGATGGCGCCCTACCTGATGCCTACCCAGCTCAACGAGGCTGCCGGGCAGGTGCTGACTAAGAAGATCGAAGACCTGGGCGTGCATGTGCATTGTGGTGTGCAGATCAAGCGCGTGGTGCTGGAGGGCGACAAGGTCACGGGCATTGAGTTCCTTAACAAGGGAGCGGAGGAGCCCACAGTGCTGGATGCCGACCTCATCATCGTCTCCTGTGGCGTCCGGCCACGCGATGAGCTGGCCAAACTCTGCGGTCTGGAGCTGGGTGCGCGAGGAGGTGTGAAGGTGAGCACATCGCTCCAGTCCTCAGACAAAGACATCTACGCCATCGGTGAGGTGGCAGCCATCGGCGGCTCCTTTTGCTATGGCCTTTGGGCTCCAGGTGTTGAGCAGGCCGAGACCTTAGTCCAAAACCTTCTGGAGCCTGGCAAGGCCGAGTACACGGCATCGGACCTGAGCACCAAGCTGAAGCTACTGGGAGTGGAGGTGGCCTCTTTTGGTCGCAGCTCCGACTTCTGGTTCCAGCGCCAGTTTGACGGAAAGGATCCCAACGTGAAGTTCATTGACTGCAAGGATGATGTAAGTGACCACTACCGTCGCCTGGTCTTCTCCAAGGATGGCACCAAGCTCATGGGCGGCGTCTTAGTTGGTGACGCCAAGGATTACTCCAAGCTGCTGCAGCTCAGCAAGAAGGATGACTTGGGAGGCAGCGATCCAGCGTCCCTGGCCTTCAAAAGGCCGCCGCCCGGTGCCGTGGCCGGTGCAGCCGTGGATGGCGGCGACGGCACTGGCCTTGCGGACGACGACATGATTTGCACTTGCATCGGCCTCACCAAGGCCCAGGTTCGACAGTCAATCATCGACAAGGAGGCCTACACCGTGCCAGCCATTAAGAAGGCCTGCAAGGCAGGCACTGGCTGCGGCGGCTGCGTCACTCCGGTCGGTGAGATCCCCAAGCTTTTGGCCCACACCCTGAAGAAGCTGGGCAAGGCTGCTGCATCCGGCATTTGCCCTCACTTTAGCTACTCCAGGCGGGAACTCTTCGATATCGTCAAGATCAAGGAGCTGAAGTCTTTCGAGGAGATCCTGGCCACCTGCGGCAAGGGAAGTGACGGCTGTGAGCTTTGCAAGCCCATCTGCGCCTCGATCCTGTCCAGTCTGTGGAATGACCACGCGCTGCAGCAGGGACGGGATCAGATCCAGGACACCAACGACCGCTTCTTGGCCAACATCCAGAAGACGGGCACCTACTCCGTGATCCCACGCTGCCCCGGCGGCGACATCACGCCCGACACGCTGATGGCCTTTGCCAAGACAGCCAAGAAATACGGGCTCTGGACCAAGATCACAGGGGCGCAGCGCCTGGGCATGTACGGTGCCCAGGTGCAGGACCTCCCAGACATCTACAAGGCCGGAAGCGTCCAAGCGCATCAAAGAATCTAACGAATGCACTGGTATGCACTGGTATGCGCTGCTGGTAGGTTGAGTAGCAGAGAGAGCTTTCGCCCTGGCAAGGAGCTGGTGGACGCTGGCATGGAGACTGGGCAGGCGTACGGAAAGGCGCTCCGAACGGTGAAGAGCTGCGTGGGGCCCTTAGAGAGCCGCCGTTTAGTTGGGAAAGCTTTGTGAGCTAAGAGCGAAAAACCTGTAGCTGAGAGCTGAGGTGGGCAGCACTTGGTGTCGCTATGGCCAGCAGGACTCCGTGACCATGGCTGTTGTCCTGGAGAACCGCTACAAGGGCCTCCGAGCTCCACACAAGATCAAGATGGCTGCCTCTGGCTGCCTCCGTGAATGCGCCGAGGCCCAGGGCAAGGACGTGGGAGTCATCGCCACGCAGGCCGGCTACAACCTCTACGTCTGCGGCAACGGCGGCGCCAAGCCTGCGCACGCCAAGCTGCTTGCGACGGACCTCTCTGAGGAGACAGTGCTCACTTACGTAGACCGGTTCTTGATGTTCTACATCTCCACGGCAAAGCATCTGCAGCGCACGGCACCATGGCTGGCAGAGCTGGAGGGCGGCATTGAGTACCTGAAAAAGGTGGTCATCGAGGACTCTCTGGGCATTGCCGGGGACCTTGAGGCCATGATGGAGAGGAACAGGGGCAACTTCAAGTGCGAGTGGAAGGAGGTGGCCTACGATGAGGAGCTGCGCAAGAAGTTCAAGCAGTTCGCAAACACCTCTGAGTCCCATGACTCTGAGCATATTGAGTACATCGACATGAGGGGCCAGCGGCACCCCAACACCTACAGCCCACCAGACATCCAGGGTCCGGCGCTGTACTCCAAGGCCAACGCGGCAGAGAATTGGGAGTGGGTCTTCGCTGGTGAGGCTGCGGACTACCCCAAGAATGGAGGTCTCGCAGTCAAACACGGCAGCCAGGAGGTGGCTGTCTTCCACCTTCCGACGCAGGAGGCTGCGGAGGACCAGTGGCTCGCAACGCAGAACCTGTGCCCTCACAGGCAGGCCCGGACCATGTCCAGGAGCTTGGTTGGCCAGCTGCCTTCTGGGGTGCTGACTGTTGCGGATCCCATTTACAAGACCACCTACAACCTTCGAACAGGCGAAGGCATTGCCAACTCCAACTTCAACCTCTCCACCTTCCCCACGAAGCTGGAGGGCGGCAAGGTCTTTGTAAAGCTGCCGCCCAGCACAGAGATGGAGGCGGCCTTCGAGAAGGTTATCACGGCGGCCTACCAGGCAGATGGCCGTGAGTACAAGAAGAAGACGGGGGGCGCCCTTCCCGCAGTCAAGGACCTGTCCTGGTGAAGGCCCAAAAACAGGATGAATAAATCTTTGCTTCTAGGCTCTTTGAAGAAGAGCTCCGTAGTTTGACACCAGCAGAACGCTTATAAGGACTGCTGATTTTCTTGTGTTCTTGTGAGACAAGACCTCTTCAGCTGCCTGCCCTCCAGTGTCTGCAGCGTGGATCAGCTGACGGAGGCTGGTGGGGCGTACGGCAGGCACAGCAGACTGCCGCACACCGGGTCAAGAATTGAATTCTTTGTTGAGAACCAGTAAGTCACGAAGCCTCTATCATTCTTGATGCGGAGCGGCAGCCTACAATTGTCTTGGGATGGTGCGGAGCACATCCACAAG